TCAATTGTTGTGTTGATTTGTTCTGTTTGATTAATATTTAGATAGTTTCATCACATTTATTTCAACTGTTGATTTTATATTATACGATTCAACGATTTGATTTGTTTGATTTAAGATTTTTTGTTTGTTTGTTTGATTTTGATTGATTATGAAAGAGATACCGACAGAGTTAGCAAACAAGTTAAAAGCTTGTAGAGCCAACATAACATGTCTGACGTTCCGCAAGTGGGGAAAGGATCGTGTACTATCGTTAAAGAATGAATTAGATGATTTACACGAGCAATTAGTATGCTTGCTTGATCCGGAAGATGAAGAATTTCCACCTGATTTATACGAAAAGATGAATAAATATTCGGACAAAATCGAAAGTTATCTAGAAAGATTTAGTTCCTTGAAGACGAGATCACGTGAAGATGTTACAATCAATCGGGATGAAAATGATAGTTCTCAAGAGAATGATATGATCGATGGAAACGAAAATGATGGATCTGAATATGCTTCGGTCAATGGTGATATCAATGATGTTTCCAATGAAATGGCTAATTTGTCGTTATCATATAAACCGAAAATCCGTTTAGAACAGTTGCCAACATTCGATGGTAAATTTGTTAATTGGAAACCGTACAAAAGTATGATGCTTAATTTATTGGTTAATAATACGTCTATTGATGAAGTAATGAAGAAATCTTTGTTATTGAAAACGTTGTCAAATGAACCCGCTCGTATAGTGGGAATTTTAATTGGTGAATTAAAAAGCTTATCGGTAATCTGGAAAAAACTTTGTGATAAATATGATGATCATGAATTGGCCATTCTAGAAATTAAAAATGAATTACGTAAAATTCCTAGAATTGCCAATGAAAATCAAACCGAAAATTTAAAAATGGCTAAAGATATTGTCGAGAATGCCAATTTGGCTGTGAAATTTTTAGAAACTGATTCTTCTTTTTATGTCACGAATTTGATACAAGCTGTAGCCTACAAGTTTTATTATCGGGCACAAAGAAAAATGCTATCTGATATGGCGAATTTTGAAGATGTTGTAAAATATATTGATAAATTGTATAAATCGGCTTTAAAATATGATTACAACAAAATTGAAAAATCCGATCAACCTACAAGATTTAAAGAAGAAACGAAAAGATCGTCTGTTGCTGCTTTTTCATCAAGATATTGTTTCATTTGTGGCAGTAACCATCAAGATATTTATGAATGTTTTGATAAATTTGATTCAAATACCATCGCCGATGTCATCAAAGGCAAAGGTCTATGTGTGATATGTCTGCGTAGAGGCCATCTCAGCAGAAATTGTCCTTCATTGATTGATAATAGTTGTGAAAAGTGTAAAAGGTTTCACGCTACCGAAATGCATGACGTTTTGAATGTTTTATATCAAACTAAACCTAAAGAAACCGCTGATTCGATTCCATCATCATCATCATCATCATTATCATCATCATTATTGTCAGAATTTTCGATTAATGAATCATTGATTAGTGAATCATCGATTAACGAATCATCGATTAACGAATCATCAATTAATGAATCATCGGATAGTGGATCAGTAGCCGCTATATCCCATCGTAATTTGTCTAATGTTTTTGATATTGAAAAAGTTGGTCATCTTGAAAATCGTCCAATGATTTATGGTAATTGTAACGGGGTAGTCAGCGTCATGTTGTTAGACAGTGGTTCCGACATCTCTTTGATTGATCAAGATCTATTATTAGATGATACGAATAATTCAGATAAAAAGTATTCGATGGTGACAACATCGCCGTTGGGAGTGGCCAAAACCACCCATAAAAAGGTGGTTCTGAAAGTTCGAAGCAATTCTAATGAAATTTCTATCGTATTGTTCTCAATCAAAATGAATGAAAAAAACCTCATCATAATTGGGACGGACAATTTAGGATTCTTTTATAAGAATCAACCGAAAGTACTGTCAATCCCCACAATTTTTGGTGACATCAGTTACCAAGCACGAAAGAATTTAGCAGCTTGTAGCTCAATTGAAATGAATAATCCAATATCTGCTCGTGAGGATGTAATAGATATTTTTGAATTGAAAAATGATCAATCATCATTAAAACCAGTAGAGGAGTTGCTGAAACTTGAAGCAGAAAATGAATTGAATATTGTTAATGATGAAGACGAAGATGATGATATTATGGTCAAGCGACTAATAACTGGTCGTTTTGAAGCTCGATTACCATTCTTATCCGAACAACGTCCGAAGGACAACTTTAATAAAGCGTTGTTTGTTTTAGAAAAGCTATTGAAACGATTGGATTATAAAAACAAGAGAGATGAATATGAAAAACAATTGTTGACTTATGTTGATAATAACCATGCCGAAGAAGTGTTCGAAGCTTCTGGTTATTTTCTTCCGCATCATCCTGTTTTTCGTGATTCTGCATCCACACCTATCAGAGTGGTCTTTAATGGATCTTTTGGCTATGAGGCCTTGAACAAATTATTATGGAAAGGAAATGCTCATGGTTTGGATGTGTTTGATCATTTGATGCGTTTCAGAAAAGGTCAATTTGCATTCACAGCTGATTTATCGAAAGCGTTCTTGCAAGTTATGATCCATCCTGATGATAGAAAATTTTTAAAATTTTTATGGAAAAACAAAAATAATGAAATCAAGATATACCAGATGAAGGTCTTACCATTCGGTCTTGTATCATCACCAGCTATTTTGACCAACGTCACGAAAAGATTATTATCGGATCAGAATCTTGAAGAAATAGCTAATGCTATTTATATGGATGATATAATTTGGTCGTCGAATTCAGAATCTGATTTAATGAAAATGATTGGTAACGTCAAAGATTGTTTCAACAATGCTGGTTTCACAATGCATAAAATTTGCTCGAATAGTGATCTGGTTTTGAATAACATAGATTGTGAAGAGCATGGTAGCAAGAAGGTTTTGGGTGTCATTTGGAACACTCAAAATGATTCGATTTCGAATGTCATTCCAGATATACAGCCAATCAATACCCGACGTGAATTATTATCAATGATTGGTAAATTTTTTGATCCATATGGCTTTCTAGATCCTTGGAAGCTCAAGCTTCGATCTTTATATCGTGAAATTCTATTGAAAGATTGGGATGAACCTTTACCCGATCAAATTATCAACGATGCGATGACACATTTGCAATGTATAGATGATCTTAAAGAATTGAAAATGAATCGAAACATCGATATGAATGGTGATTTACACGGATTCGCAGATGCATCTCTATCGGCTTACGGTTATGCAATTTATATCAAGAAAGATGACGAAATGCATTTTTTATTCGGAAAAGCTAAGTTGTCACCGTGTAAAATCAAAACTATCGTAGAATTAGAATTACTTGCCTTATACGAACTGGGCAAAATATTGAGTCGAATGCACGTTGTTTTCCATAACCGTATTACAATTTGGTCTGACTCTATGATTAATTTACAACGTTTCGGCTCATCTCCAAATAATCAAAAAAGAAACGTGGCATCACAATTAATGAAAATTTTGAAAATTGTGAACGATTTAAATATTACGATTCGTCACGTTAATGGTTTACGTAATCCTGCCGACTTATTCAGTCGAATTAATGATTCGAAGTCTTATTTAAAAAATTTTAAATTTATCATTAATTCGAATTTTTTTGATTTCTCTGATAGTAATCGATTCGAGACTTATCGAGTCTCTTCCATTTCAATCAAAAATTTCGAATTTGCTGATCATGTTGATGAGTTCAGAAAACTGGAATCTATCGATCAAATGATGAATTTCGTTGAGAAGTTATTACCCATTGGTAATACGGCTATTGATAGGTGGAATTTGATATATCGTTTTTCGCAGTTCGGCAGCAATACCAATCAAATTAATCTCCCTTTGATGTACGATGATATTGTAAAAATTAAAACGAGAAACCCGAATTTTAGTCCAATTTGGATTCCTAAGGAATCCAATGTAGTTTTGGCTTTAATTCAGTTTTATCATTTGGAAACATTACATGGTGGAATAAAAACAACTATGGCAGAAATTCAATCAAGATTTTATATCCAAAATTTGTATCGATTAGTCAAAAAATTCATTTATTATTGTCATGTGTGCCAAATTGAAAAGAAGAAACCGATCGTTCAGCCATTGGCTGATTTGCCTTCTTCCCGAGTTATATTTGCCGCACCTTTCGAATGTGTATGCATCGACTTTTTTGGTCATCTTTCCTATCGTAACGGAAAGAAATTTTATATTTTAATCGTAACTTGTTTGGTGTCTCGAATGGTCAAGCTAGAAGTGGTTAATTCTCTATCGGCTAATTCTGCCTTGACAGCTTTGAATAACGTTTTCTTGCAATGTGGTACACCTCGTAAGATCTACAGTGATAATGGCACGAATTTCGTTAAGTGCAACAAAGAAATTAAAAAATTTCTCGATCAATTAGAAGAATCTAGCAAATTGGATAACAGAAATATTGAATGGATATTTTCACCACCTGGTGCGCCATGGTATAACGGTACTGTTGAACGTTTAATTTCTGTAACCAAACGATGTTTAAGATGCTTGGATGCTAGCTTTCGTTCATTTGAAGATGCACGAACTACATTTTTGAAAATCGAATCTGTCATTAATGGACGTCCAATCGTACAAGATGATGATCGTTGGATATCTCCATTTGAAATCGCTTACGGTCGACAACAACAACCATTGATTGACGTCAATGCTGATTTAGATACAAATGGTAATTGGCCAAAACGTTTGAAAGAAGTCCGTTCTAAATTTGAAAATTTTTGGCGTTCTCAGTATTTGGCCTCTCTGAATCAAAATAATCAACCAAAAATTACGGATATAAAAATTGGGGACTACGTTCTATTACCTTCTGATCGTTTTATAAAACGGAATAAATGGCCGATCGCCAAAATTATTGATATTTGCAACAACTCCAATAATGATGATAAAGTTATTCGATCAGTAAAGATTCGCCGTTTATCTGACGATGCTGAATATATTAGACCGGTCAACGGAATGATCTTGTTGGATCGTTACAAAAATTAAATTCGTCATCTCGCGCCGGGAATGTCGTGAAACATGAGTAAAAGTTGCCACTACCTCTCATGGCTATTTTTTGTCTTAATTTTGTTTATGATATAAAAACGTGTTATTAATTGATTTTTTCTCATTCGCATAATATCAAGTTGAAATAAACTACTTTGTTTCTTTCTTTATACTCAATTGTTGTGTTGATTTGTTCTGTTTGATTAATATTTAGATAGTTTCATCACATTTATTTCAACTGTTGATTTTATATTATACGATTCAACGATTTGATTTGTTTGATTTAAGATTTTTTGTTTGTTTGTTTGATTTTGATTGATTATGAAAGAGATACCGACAGAGTTAGCAAACAAGTTAAAAGCTTGTAGAGCCAACATAACATGTCTGACGTTCCGCAAGTGGGGAAAGGATCGTGTACTATCGTTAAAGAATGAATTAGATGATTTACACGAGCAATTAGTATGCTTGCTTGATCCGGAAGATGAAGAATTTCCACCTGATTTATACGAAAAGATGAATAAATATTCGGACAAAATCGAAAGTTATCTAGAAAGATTTAGTTCCTTGAAGACGAGATCACGTGAAGATGTTACAATCAATCGGGATGAAAATGATAGTTCTCAAGAGAATGATATGATCGATGGAAACGAAAATGATGGATCTGAATATGCTTCGGTCAATGGTGATATCAATGATGTTTCCAATGAAATGGCTAATTTGTCGTTATCATATAAACCGAAAATCCGTTTAGAACAGTTGCCAACATTCGATGGTAAATTTGTTAATTGGAAACCGTACAAAAGTATGATGCTTAATTTATTGGTTAATAATACGTCTATTGATGAAGTAATGAAGAAATCTTTGTTATTGAAAACGTTGTCAAATGAACCCGCTCGTATAGTGGGAATTTTAATTGGTGAATTAAAAAGCTTATCGGTAATCTGGAAAAAACTTTGTGATAAATATGATGATCATGAATTGGCCATTCTAGAAATTAAAAATGAATTACGTAAAATTCCTAGAATTGCCAATGAAAATCAAACCGAAAATTTAAAAATGGCTAAAGATATTGTCGAGAATGCCAATTTGGCTGTGAAATTTTTAGAAACTGATTCTTCTTTTTATGTCACGAATTTGA